TTCCAAGGAGTACAAGTCATATAAGAAAATTTTATATAAGAGGAGTGCCTCGGTGGCCTGCCTTTGGCTCACGTCATGATCTTGGAGTCTTGGGATTGAGCCCTGCATCGGGCTCCCTGCCCAGAGGGGAGCCTGCTTCTCCCTCTGCCCCTTACTCTGCTCATGTTCTCTCTCTCTTTCAAATAAATAAATAAATAAACAAAGTCTTTAAAAAGAAAAAGCAAAATTCTATATAATAAAATTCTTTTTTTTTGGGGATCCCTGGGTGGCGCAGCGGTTTGGCGCCTGCCTTTGGCCCAGGGCGCGATCCTGGAGACCCGGAATCGAATCCCACATCGGGCTCCCGGTGCATGGAGCCTGCTTCTCCCTCTGCCTGTGTCTCTGCCTCTCTCTCTCTGTGACTATCATAAATAAATAAAAAATTTAAAAAAAAAATAAATAAAATTCTTTTTTTTTTTTTACATTAAAGTATAGTTGACACAACATAAGAAAAGTCTCACTACAGGGTGATTCTTGCTTGATCTTTTTATTCCAAACTCAGAAATTTAAATTTAAATTTTTTATTCTTATTATTTTTTTAGGATTAACTTTGTGTTTTTTATTCCTATCAGATAATTTTAAGTCTTGTTTCTCTTAAACTTTCCATACCATTCTCAATGATAAATAAGCCCAGTCACGTATTAGAAGTTTAGACAAAGTTGTACTTTACAATATATAAAATCATCCCAAGAATCAATTTAAATGACAGAAACATGCTTTCAGGAACACAAATATCTTTTCAAATGCAAGATCATACTGTGATATGTAACATCTATTCTATTAATGTAACAATCACTGTTATATTTTTTGTTATATTTGTTTGATTGGTATTTTGTTAGTGATTATTAAGATAATAAATGAGAGGCAGCATTTTATAGCAGGAGAAGGACAGGCTTAGGTTCAAGTTCCTGCTGTGACACGGGCACATCAATTTAATTTGCACTTGTTTCCTCATTTATTAAATGGGGATACAGATACTTTCCTTGTAGAGATGTTTAAGGTGTATAATTATCTATATAAAGTACCTTGTACAATATCTGATATTAAATGAACTGTCACCAGTTACTATGGCCATTTTATGTTGTTAATTGTCATATTATGAATAATGAAGACACTGGTTTTTTTTGGAAATCAAATCCCTTATAGAGACTGGAGCCTAAAAAATGCCTTCTAGCCTTCTGACCATTGGCCAGGGAACCTAAGTTAACTCCTCACTTCATAAATGCAAAGTAGATGTATAAAAGGGGGAAAAAAAAGCTCTAATTTATTCTCTCAAAGTATTCATCAAATGAGGTAGGATTTCTGGGGAAGATTAAGAGCTTACATTTTTTTATTGGACTTATTTCCCATAAAGTTTCACAAAGGATGAAAGGAGGGAAAGTGCAGAAGCGTACTATTTCTGTTTTATCTGCAACCTGTGATTATAAATCTTCCCAAGATATTGTTAATTATAATGATGCCATTCAAAATCCTGCAATTTAAGACTATTAGAATTTTTACCCAAAATTTCATGCCTGGGGCTTAAAAATTGGCAGCTGAATGTTTGTATGAGGCTGAAAACTTGAAGGCTATGACAGAAGGAGAACATCTTTAAACTATTTGCTAAAGACTGAATGTGTCCCCTCCAAATTCATATGTTGAAATCCCAATCCCCAATATGGTGGTATTTGTGAGCAAGGCCTTGGAGAGATAATTAGGTCAAGAGGGTGGAGCCCTCCTGGTTGCAATTAGTGCTCTTATAAAAGAGACCTCAGAGAGCTTTCTCATGCTCTTCCCTGGGTGAGGATAAAATGAGAAAAGGGCCTTCTGCGACTCAGAAGAGGGCTCTCACCAGAACTCAACTGTGCTGGCACCCTGATCTTGACTTCCAGCTCCCAGAACTGTGAGAAATAAATTTCTATTGTTTATAAACCACTGTGGTGGCTCTGGTGTTCTGTTATAGCAGCCCAAACTGACAAAGACAGGTGCTGTGCACAGATCGCCTAGAAACCTATCACAGGTTTCCCCAAGAGTTCAAAGGCTGAGATGAGCTTTACATGCTTAGGGAGAGATTTGCCAGTTAGCAGCTGCTATAGAGCAGAACAGAGACTCTTGGGATTTGACAGTACTGGGGATGTTGGAGTACTGAACATTCCACTGTGGAGAGATCTTTTAAAAACTTGTATAATACTCTTAGAATCCAGCTGATACACCAGAAAGTCTGCACTCCAGCAGAAAGAACAATATTCTATAGTTAGGCCTGCACTAGGCTTGCCTGCACAGTCTACAACCAAGCCTGAAAAAGTTTGGAAGAGACAGAGTTTGAAAGTCGAGTCATACCAAGTTAGACAGGTTTTAAGAACATCTTGGGCTTTCCACTTATCTGCACTAGCCAAGTATATCGCTAAAGTCTGTACCAGTTTAAGGCAATCACCCCGTAATTAAACGGCCTGCTAAAATAAGAATCAATACTCTTCAGAAAAAGATAATAGAATCCAGGTTCTTACAATGTGTTATTCAAAATGTCCAGTATTCAATAAGAAAAATCACTAGGGGATCCCTGGGTGGCGCAGCGGTTTGGCGCCTGCCTTTGGCCCGGGGCGCGATCCTGGAGACCCGGGATCGAATCCCACATCGGGCTCCCGGTGCATGGAGCCTGCTTCTCCCTCTGCCTATGTCTCTGCCTCTCTCTCTCTCTCTCTCTCTGTGACTATCATAAATAAATAAAAATTTAAAAAAAAATTAAAAAAAAGAAAAATCACTAGGCATACAAAGAAACAGGAAAACGCATGTTTACGAAAATGTGCAATTAGTAGAAGCAGAGCTTGACATGGGACAGATGTTGGATATAACAAATATAGACTTTAAGGCAGCTATTGTAAATCTTTTCAAGGGAAAAAGAATGATATATTCAAAGAGTAAAGGAAAATAGGGTCTTAATGTGTAACCAAATAGGGAATCTCAGTAGTCATGTGCAAACTAAAGAAAAGAAAAAGACCACATGGAAATTTTTAGAACTGAATAATACATTAAATAAAATGAAAAATTCACTGGGTGGTGGGAGTACTGACTGGTATGGCATTCTGGACAGCAACTTGGAATTATTTCATACAACTAAGACTATTCATACTCCGTGACTTAATTTCTCTTCTGTTCATCACATACCATATGGAAAATTTTGAAAAGCACAAACTGGGGAAGATATTTGTTAACACATAAAATCGATGAAGAATTAGTAGCCAGGATACATAAAGAACTCCTATAAATCAGTGAGAGAGAGAGAGAGAGAGAGAGAGAGCAAGCAAGGGAGCAAGAGAGAAAGCAAGAAACAATCTAATTAAATAATAGCAAGAGAACTAGTAGGCAGTTCACAAAGAGAAAATGGGAAGACTAATAAAACTAAGAAAAGGTGTTAAATCTCAATAATAATAATAAGATGCAAAACAAATGCACAATGAGATATGTAGGCTGCACACACTCAAATATACAAACATTAAAAATATAAACAACACTAAATGTTGGTAAGGATGTGGGAAAATAAGAACTCGTATATACTCCCATCAGGAACGTAAATTGGAAATGGTGTGGTATTACCAATTAAAATCTCTCCCGTACAAAACCTAATACCCAGTGAATCCACTACCCCTGGAGCATGTGTGTGCTAGTAGACATGTAGTAGAATATTCATAACAACATTGTTAGTAATAACTAAAAATGGAAACAGTGCAAGTGGCCATCAATAGTAAAAATAAATAAATATTCAGTATATTGGAGCACTATCCAACAATAGAAAAACTTCTGCTACACAGCATCATTACTGGGTGAATTCCACAACATAATAGTGAGAGAAGCAAGTCCCAGAAAAAGACAAATAGTGTAATTTCATTTTTATAACATCAATAACAGGAAACAAAGACATTTTGTTTAGAAATGCACACATGAGGGGCACCTGGGTGGCTGACTCTTGATTTCTGCTCAGGTCAAGATCTCAGGGTTGTGAGATGGAGCCCCAAGTCCGGCTCTGGGCTGGGCATGGGGCCTGCTTAAGATCCCCCCTTCTCTGTATGCCCCTCCCCAAACGCGAACATAAATAGCAGAAGAACGCAGAAAAGTAAAGGGACTAACAAAAGTCAGGGGAGTGGTTTCTCGCAGGCCAAGGAAGGCCGTGCACTGGTTGGAGCCTTTCTGAGGCCTGATACTCTATTTCTTAGCCCGAGTGTGAGTTGCACAGTTACTCACTTTGTTGTTTAAGATGAATACGCTTTGCTTTGTGCACTTTCTCTATGTGTAGTGTAATCCACACTAAAAATGATTCTTAAAAAGACTGGATCGGACAATCTCTTGAACTCTGTCACCGTGGACGGTGTGCGGCCCAGGCCCTTCCCACGCGGACTTGCTGGTCCTGCATGGGCGGAGCCCGTGAGCGGCGGACCCCGAGGTGCAGGGGCGGCGGGGGCGGCGGGGGCCGCAGGAAGAGCGGTTCTCAGGGAGGCATCGGGGTCCACACCGAAGGGGCTGGGTTCCAGGGCTGGTTCCGCCTTCTGGGCAAGCCTCTGTGAAATTCACATCTGATCACTGAACTGGGAAGTTCAAGCAGAGACCCGACACTAAGGACGGTTCTTTCACAGCGGGGGGCCCGAGGGCGCCCCGGGGCTCTCCAGCCCAGGGGGCCGTCTGCACCCAGCACGGGGCTCGCGAAGCCGGCTCCCCGGCCCCGCCCCCCGGCCCCGCCCCCGCCCCCGCCCCCACAGCCCGCGGGGCGCCTCGTCCGGCTGCGCGCGCACCGTCGGACGTCACAGACGAGCTGCCCCGCCCCATCCCGCTCCTTCGGAAGCCCCGCCTCCTCGCGGGGCCCCGCCCCCGGCGTTCGCCGGGCCCCGGCGCAGCCCCGCCCCGCCCGTCTTGCGGCCCCGCCCCTCCCGGCTGCCATGACAACGAGTCCGCGCCCCGCGCACAGCTGCTGCTCGGGCGGGACCCAGGCTGGACCGCGGGCCGCGGCCTGGGGGCCACAGCTGCCGCCGCCGCCGCCACCTCGTCTCCTCCCCGCCCCCGCCCCGCCCCGCCCCGCGTCTCCTCGCCGCCCTCGGGCCCGCGGCCGGGGTCCGTCCCCGCCGCCGCCCCCCGCGCGGATGCCGAAGGTGAAGGCGCTGCAGTGCGCGCTGGCGCTGGAGATCCGCTCTGTGAGTACCGGTCGCGCCCCGGGCCCGCGGGTCGGCTCTTCCTCGCTCGCCGCCGTGCGCCGGGGCGCCCCCGGGAGCCCGGCTCCGTCGCCTCGGTGTCCTCCCGCCCCGGTCCCGGCGTCCAGTCGCGCCCCCGCGGCCCTGCCCCGGGAGCCTCACGTCGGGAGCGCCTCCGCCCCTGCCCCGGCCCTCCGGCGAGGCGGGGTGGGGCTTCTCCTGCGTCCCGTCTCTGCACCCGCTGCCCTGGACCGCCTTGTTGGCCCCGTTTCTCCCCGCCCGTCCAGGCGCCCGGATTTCCCCCCGAATCCCTGCAGCAGATTTGCTCAAGTTCCCAAACTTGGGGTTGGTGAAGGGGCCGCTGCTCGCGTGTTGGGAGTGGAACCCTCACACCCGGCGGCCAGGCCGTCAGCTCTGCGGAGCGCCCCGCCACCTCCCGGCCCCGCCTGCCAGCGCCGGGCCGCCCTGCCCCGCCGGGAAAGGCAGCGACCTGCGCGGAGAAGCCCCTGTTCTCGGTTCTCGGACCTGGCTGCAGAGGCCCAGCCCCAGGCCCCCTGCAGACTCGCTCAGGAGGACCTTCCCCAGCCTGCTGTGGGAACCGCTGAGGCATGAGCCCCCATGTCTTTACTTTAAAAAAAAAAAAAAAGATTTTATTTATTTATGCATGAGAGACACACGGAGGCAGAGACACAGGCAGAGGGAGAAGCAGGCTCCATGTAGGGAGCCCGATGTGGGGCTCGATCCCGGGACCCCGGGGTCACGCCCTGGGCCCAAGGCAGAGGCTCCGCGCTGAGCCCCCCAGGGGTCCCCACCGCGTCCGTCCTTCAGTGAAGGAAGTTGGACCTTTCTGTGATGGGAGAAAACTCCATCCGTCTTAATCATCGCAGTAGACCCTTTCACGGTTTTTTTTTTTTTTTTTTTTAACTCCCTCCTCTGCACCTTTTACAGAACCCTCTCATCCTGGTCTTCAGGTGAAAGCCCCAACTTGTCTCTTCTGCAGGAAACCCTCAGAGAAGCTTTCCATACCCCCATTTTAGACCCAAATCCCCCATTCGGTCTCTCTTCTCTCCTTCCACTTCTAAGCCCTCTCACCTCTCAACTCTTTGATCTCCCAGTGAAAGCAGGTGGTGAGGTTACCTGAGTATCCAACCCCAGCCTCTGAGGGCTGCCCTGGGAAGCCCTCCCCACTTCCTTCCTGCACATCCTGCAGGCCTGCAGGCCCGGCTTCTGTGTCTGCTTACGCCCTCCCGTGCTTTCCTGGCTGTCCTAACTCGCGTTGGAATGAGGCTGCTGCTAACACAGTCCGTGTTACCTCCAGGGAAGTCACAGGACTGTTCTAGATCTTTTGTTAGGTGTTAAAGAAGGCAAGGCTGGGTAGGGCAGAGTGTGAGGCAGAGTGGAGGGGAAGAATGTTTCTGGGGGTTTTTTCATCCCGCAGCTGCCAAAGTTTAGCAACTTTGTAAAGTAAGACTCCTCTAGCAAAAGAATACCCAGAGCTGCTTAAACGGCTTGGCCTAGAGCAGTTGGTAAAACTCCTCTGCCTGCAGTCTCACCGCACTGCACTTTGTTACTGGCTGCTGCTTCCTCCTCTGTCAACCAGTGGGGGGTAGCGGGAGTGCAACTCCCTGAGGGGCTGGCTTCCCTCCCCCCCCCTTTTTTTAGGCTTTATTTATCCATGAGAGAGAGAGAGAGAGAGAGGGAGAGGGCAGAGGCGGAGACACAGGCAAAGGGAGAAGCAGGCTCCCTGCAGGGACCTCGACATGGGGCTGGATCCTGGGACTCCAGGATTATTACGGTTTGGGCCGAAGGCAGACACTCGACCGCTGAGCCACCTGGGCTGCCCTGGCTTCCTTCCTTTGCCAAAAGATCTCCAAGAGGAAGTACTTGGTTGTAACTGATTGATTACTGCCCGGAGGAGTTGCAGAAACACATTTGATTTCAGTACTGCTCTTCCTCAGAAAGTAAATGTGTGATGCAGCTTTGTGTTCATCGAGGCTGAAGAAGTTATGCAAGTGGAAACGTTCCTATTTAACTTTTTTCAACAGACACTTGAGTCGCAGAATTTCACAATTCTAAGAATCTTAGATATCATTGAATTTAATTCCTTTTTACAGGTGAGGCTTAGCATGGCTAATTATTTGCTGAGGGTTGCACAACTGTTTAGAGGCAGATCTGCAACAAGATGCTAAGTTTTAACCAGCAAAAGCCCTGTTAAATGGCTCTGATGCTCAGAAGAAGTAAACAAAAGACCATTAGCAACCATTAGCTTGATTAATTTGGCTTTGATTGAATAGATGAATTAAATGACCATAGATACTTTTAACCTCTTCTTTCAAATTTTAGTTTTTTCTTTTCAATTAGTTTTTTATGTTTACATGGTATAAAAGTCAAACCTACAAATGATACACTCAGAGCAGTCTCACATCCAGCACTATCTCCTCAAACTTCTTTCCCATCCATACTCATATGCTGTAGGTAATGATTTTATTGGTTTCTGAATTATTCTTCTAGTATTTCCTTTTGTAATATAACCAAATAGATAACACACACACACCATTCCCCTCATATATTTTTTCTTTGCTTCTTTATACAGTAGGTAGCATATAAACTATTCTGCACTTTGCTTTTTTCCCCCACTCTGTATGTATAAAATTTGGCATCTTTATTTTCCAACTTTTTATTGACATAAAGAGTAGTTGGAAGAATAGTACAGTGAATGACTATAACCCATGACTATGTACATTAATTTATCTGTACATATGTGTATGTGTAAAATGTGTTTTTTTTTTTTTTTCTGAAAATTTGGAGGTAAACTTTTGGTATCATGATACACCCTCAACATCTGTCTTCTAAAAATAGTGACATGGTTCTGCATAACTACCATACTGTTATCACGCTTAAGATCATAAGTGACAAGTCTTAATATCTAGTGCATATTCACATCTTCCCAGTTGTCCCACGAATAACTTGCAGAGTTAATTTTTTAAAACCCGGATCCAATCAAGGTTTACATGTTGCATTTGGTTGTTAGGTGTTCTTAATCCATTTTAATATAAAGTTGCTCGGGACGCCTGGGTGGCTCCGGGGTTGAGTGCCTGACTTTGGCCCAGGGCGTGATCCTGGGGTCCCAGGGTTGGGGCTCCCTGCATGGAGCCTGCTTCTCTTCTCTTCTCTTCTCTTCTCTTCTCTTCTCTTCTCTTCTCTTCTCTTCTCTTCTCTTCTCTTCTCTTCTCTTCTCTTCTCTTCTCTTCTCTTCTCTTCTCTTCTCTTCTCTTCTCTCTCTTCTCTTCTTCTCTCTCTCTCTCTCTGTCTCTCATGAATAAATAAATAAAATCTTAAAAAAAAAAAGCTCTACTTTTTCATTCCCATGATCTTTCCTTCTCCACTGCCCCCCCACCCCCATGGATTTAGATAAGTTCATACACTCATGTAATCATTACTCAGGTGAAGATTTAGCACACTTCTATCACCCTAGAAAATTCCCTTGTGCCCCTGTCCAGCCCCATGCAGAGGGAACTATTCTGATTTCTATTACTATAGATTAGTGTGCCAGTATGTGAATTGCAGGTGCAATGGAATCGTAGAGTATGTAAATTTTGTGTCTGGCTTTGTTTGCTCAGCATAGTTTTGAGCTTCCTCCATGTTACTGTGTATCAGTAGTTTATTCCTTTATATTCTATGTGTAGACAACATTTTTAGCCATTCTCTTTACTGATGATTATTTGGGTTGTTACCAGGTGATGGTTGTCATGGATAAAGCAACTATAAACATTCATTCTTGTAAAACTCTGTGTATATTACCTTTTTTTTTTTTTAAGATTTTATTTATTTATTCATGAGAGATGCAGAGAGAGAGAGGCAGAGAGAGAGGCAGAGGGAGAAGCAGGCTCCATGCGGGGAGCCCAACGTGGGACTCGTTCCCGGGACCCCAGGATTACTCCCTAGGCCGAAGGCAGACTCTTAACCGCTGAGCCACCCACCCGGGCTGCTCTGTATATTACCTTTTAAAGAGACCATGCTCAGATATAGAATATCCTATGTTGTACTATTATCTGAATTCTTCCCCTATGTGGTGACATTTAATTAATGTCCAATTAATCCTAATTCCTATTAACTGGAAATTAGAGGTTTTCTCTCTGTGTGCATTCCATTCTCTCCCCCCACTGTGCCCCACATGATTGTTGTTTTGCTGCGGGCTTGTATTAGTAGTAATCTCATGTATGATACTGTGGGGAGATGAGGGCAAGAACATAGTAAACATGAAAGGTTTTAGTGTACAACACACCATTTTGTATTGCTCCATAGAGCTGTATGACTTGAGAGAAAATATATTGCTAGGAAGAAAGTCTGACTTTGCTCGATGAATCTTTGGAGAATGATATAGGCCAATAACTTGCCTATCAAGAGCAGCAATTACATCTCCTACCACTTATACTTTTAATAGTTGAAGCATCTTACCTATGATATGAAAAGTAGTTTTGCTGCTTCTTTTAATTAGTAGTTCAGCTTTCATGAGATTACTTGGGAGAATGGAAGAAACTGCAGAGAGACAAAGTCTAGTGCCTGGGCAATGAAAGCAGCCAATAGTGACAGTTTGGGTTTAATTTGTATATATGTATATATAATTCCCAGTTTTAGTTCTCTGTACTCCCTTCACCTCATTGCCTCCTTAAATTATTGATAACATTGGGGCAAACAAATCTGGGTCCTTTTTTCTGATCATTGCTCATCCAGGTTTCTGTGGAGTGAGTGGTGTCTCACAATTGTGCTACAGCTGGTGGTGGTTTTCCTTTTTCCTTGTAATACAGACTTTTAAGAACTTTTAAATAAAAAACACTTGAAACTTACAGAAAAAATAAAACTGAATACTGTGATCCTTACACCCCTGATTTAACAAATGCTACATTTTACATTTTTGCTGCAGATTTTGTTTTTAAGAAGTAAAATGGTATGGATATAGTTAAGTCTCCTTTGTGTACCCTCCTGACCCCAGTTTTTCTCCT